GGCAAATCAGCCTGTGTGGGGCCCGGATGCGAAGAAGGCGGCAGCAGGAGTGACAGTGGCCAGATGCAAAGCCAGCTGTGGCATGGGGTTAACAGCACTAGGCAGGCCCTGCAAGAGGGTCTGCAGCCACTCCGCATGGCTCTATGGGGTCTCCCAAAGTGTGGGGCCCGGGGTGGTTGACCCGATTTGCTCCCCACAGGGTCGGCCCTGGCTGGACCCAATGATCTTGCGAATGTCCCTTCCAGCCCCTTACAATCTATGAATGTCAGGAATGGTACCTGGTGCTCCGTGCAGGTAGCTGGGCTCCATGCCTGCAGCCAGAGCTTCAGAGATTCCCCAGCTAAAGCACACTGGGGAGCCTCACAGGAGGATCCTGCTGAATCCCAGTGCTGCTGCAGTGTGAGGACTAGTTTGCATGCTTGTGGGTACTGCACAGCAAGATGCTATGAACAGAGCCCCGGTCCCAAAGTGGCAAGGGCATGTGGTGCCATATGCAGGCACATTAGGTTCTCCTCACTGGTCCCTGAACCTGCTGCAGACATTTGGACATCTCTCTGTGAAAACCTTGAGGCCACAAGGAGGTCCACTGGGGAGATCAGCCCACAGCCAAGGGGCCTTTGAGGAATCTGCCATGTACAGTGCTGAGTTATAAGGGCTTGCCATGGTGAGATAGTCACACAATTCATGCTAAGCTGATAGCACTCCCTCAGAGCCAGAGAAAACCTGAAAACCTAGAAGGCTTACAGAAGAGACTGCCCAGAGTGGGGGACTGCTTCAAGTGATGGAGTTCCAGGATCTTATGATTGACCCCCAACACTCACTACTAGAACAAGGCTGAGCTTGGCTTCTACAATGTTGAAGTAGGCAATCAGAAGCCTGACTCCTCTGTGTACAGCACCTGGTGTCACCTCACCGTGGTCTCTTTCAGCTCCTCAGACCCAGCCCTCAAAGTATGAATCCCAACTCCAGCCCTAGAGTCTCCAGTGTATTTCCACTGAATTTCTCCCATCAGCCCTAGGATAGTAGCCCAGTAATGGGAGGTGGAGCAGTCCCATCCAACAAACCATGCATAGGAGGCCTGAAGACAGGACAGAAAACAGGATTTTCTCTGTAGCCATAACTTGGTGTTGTCCATGAACTTGGCCAGAGAGCTATTCAACCCCCACATCCAAATCATTGATAAAGATGTTGAAAAGCACTGGTCCAAACATGGGCAACTGGTGCCTCCTGATCCTGGGGGGGGG